TTTTCTACTCTATCTGTTTATTCCTCAATATAGTCTGAGAATTTCTGCTTGYCAGTTTAAGTGCTGCCAAGGTCATTGTCTCTAGATAAAAAAGTGGATCATTCTGAACCTATAACTAGCTGTTAGGAAAATAATTAAATAGAATCTAATTACAGTAGGACTGGTAGTTACTCTCGGTGATTTATACCTTTGATCTTTCTAATTTCTTCAAAGATAACTCCTGAAATTATTTCAGTATACTAGTTGAGACCAAGTTTGTTAYTTAAATGCACTCTATAAAGATCTTTTTTACATCTTTTACTCCTAAATAGACATTTCAGAACTTCGAATAGCGAACATTGGGTGTCTGTATTGCATAATTGAATGAAAACACTTTTGCTTTCTTTGCTTATATTATGATATTGCTCAGTCACTAGTACATCTTGTACAATAACAAAGGAAAATACCATCCTTGAAAGTCTAAAAATACAGACTGCAAGCACAACAGTGGAAGGCAATTGAGCACTTAAGTCAGTACTGTGAGCAAAGATGAAAATGTCTTGTCWGTTCTGTTGTATTTCTTAATCTATTTCCAACCAGTGACGCATAAGTAATTCAGCCACCGCATTCATTAGTCTTCTGAGGACATTTCCAAATAGGAAGAGTTCTGTTGTTCTGTTGCAGAGGAACTGGGGAGGAGAGTCACAGCAAAAGTTTTTATGAGAGGAACACAGAGGTGGTGTGAGAGACAGGGCTGTGTAGGAGTGTATGGCAGTTTATGRCTGAGGGAAGAGATGTGTGGTTGCTCCTTGCAGCATTCCCTGCCCAGTCCTTTCTTATCTGTCTTTCCAAGAGATGGTTGAGATGGTAGCTGTTACTGCAGTGTAGGGATATGGACACCAAGAAGTATGTCCTGGAATTGGTGGTTAATAGCACATTTCAATGTGCACTTTCCACACACAGACTAGCAGAATTAAAACCTCCAGGACCATTCTGTAAATCAGTGCATGTATTCTAGTGGAAAATGTGTCTCTTGAAACACAAATTGCTAGAAGTAAGCATCACAGTTTTTCAGTAGCTTCTGTACTTTATTTATGAAATAAAACATGTCTTTCTAATTGTCAGTGTTGTGAATACAGCTTGGCAAGATGACATGTAAGATTCAGGGACAAGGGAGGAAAATTATGWAATACTTCTGTCTCTCTCACTCCCCCTACCTCACCTTTTGCAGAGCAAAAGTCTGCTTTTGTATTTGTCTAGATGTGTAAACTGTACTAGCAAAATTGGTGATGAAAGGGGTGATCTTGTTTAATGTTTTGGCTTAGTGCACCAATATGGAAGAATAATTTGCTTTGTTTGGAAGATGCAGTTTTAGGGGAGGGTTAYTTACATGATTGGTTCTTAAATTCAGATTGACTGTTCATGTTCCAGCATTGTGTTTGCTCTCTCTGGAAAGCTCCCCTAATCCTTTTCCTGCAATCTCTATGGCRTTTAAAGAATTGAAGTATAAGAAATATTACAACAAACAAATATTTGAGAAGTTTTAAYGAACATGTTAAGACCAGGCCCTTGAAGTCTGAAGATCCAAGGGGCAGAGATGGGGAGAGGGGAGAATAGGGTTTGTTTGGCTTGGGTTTTTTTTTTAATTCTGTTTTGGTTTTGCACACTGGAGATTAAGATATACTGTACTGTGCTTTCAAAGAGCAAACTGCTCAGAGTTGGCATTTGAAATTTGAGAAATGCCCTGGTTAACATGTCAGCAGGTTGAGCTTCACAGGGATAATATGGCATTGGCAGTGTTGTGCAGTAACTTATATACATACATATGTTCAGACTGTGAAGCAATATCTTGAAGCCAAAGTTATTTGGTAAAGGTATAATATATTTTTGCAACATTTATTTGCGTAGGTCTGGAGTTTTGCCTCAGATGATCAAGGCYGTAAACTCCCTCACTGTTGCATAGTAGGACTGTGATAGGTTTGAGGTACCCCATGAAGGGTCAGGGAGGAACAGTGACATTTTCCCGAAATCATGTGCTAGGCAGTAAAGAACAGCCTAGAGGAGGGTTGTGTCCTCAGATACAAGGYTGTTTGGAGAAGTTTCTTTATGAAATTTAAATAATTCTTGGCAGCATGGCTTCTTGGAGAAATTTAAGGGCAAAGTATCTCTCAATTTTAAAATGTTATTTTGTTTAATGTCTCTAAAGCTGTAGATCTCCCAATTCCCACATTAATAATGCATATATGGTTTTTGGTAGTACATTTATTCTGATTATTGCTTAAAAACTTTGTCTTTCAATATAACAATTTTGCAGTTTMATTAAAAGCTTTTGTAATGGAAGGAAAAAACAAGCTTCATTGTTCTTTCTTAACTAAGTTTATCAGTGATTCAGATTTGTTATCAAAAGCCAATTTCATTTTTTCTTTYGTCGGAGAATCTACCATTTTCTGTGTATTTGAAGTTAACTTATTTTAGTGTCTACATTGTTAGACATTACAATGTTTAACATTACATACAAACACATTATACTGTTCTAAAATGCTAGACCTAGGCTTCCTTGTTTTTTTGGGTGGAAGAYTCCTTATGGAATGGGGGGCAGATATTGCTGTGTTAATTTTTGTTCTTTTGAGAGGACCATATTACTTTCACATATTCTTTTCTTTCAGTCATAGCAATTGAGATTAAGTTATCATTGTGAAAACTTTCTGTACAGTATTTTTTTGTGTTTGTTTCTTCTCTCTTCTGGTGTAGTTTTTAGGCTGTATGTTGAAAGTACCAGAAATGTCAGTAAACAACTTMCCTGAACACATCAACACTGCTTGGGCTCTAAGCACATTTTCACTTAGAGCTAGAGTTTAGGTGACTGCTGCTGCTTTTGAATGGGAGCGTACATTTCCCCTCTTCTGGTGGGCATGTTGCTTTTCCTATCTTGGGCTTTATTACCTGGATTAATCTGACCTAATCTCAAGTCTCGCGAAAGCATTTTCCTCAGGAAAATCAGCGTGGTGATTTATCAATTAGTAACTCACTCGAGTTCTTTCAAATGCTTTAAAGTATCTGTATCCTGTAGAGATAGAAATTAGACTATGAAGGCCATTATTCCTTGGCTGTTGGTTAGACGGGAGGTCAGGTGGAGCTTTGAGTACAGTTTTGGCTTTTTTTTGTCTTATCTTCTAAAAAGAGAATGTGGCCAAAATTACCTGGAATATAATCAGGAATTACAGATACTTTTGATATGTATYGATTACATTCTCACTTAGCAATTATTTCTTCATTATATTTGTGATGTCATTCATCACTTAGTGTCCTGTGAGAAGGATTGCCAAAAATCCTAAGGCATTTCTAGTGACTTTTAGAATAATCAAATTCTTTTTTGGCCCGAGTTCTGTGCAAGACTTGATACAGTACAGTATGCTATGGCACWTGGTGTGGTGCAGTACACCAGTGGRTCCTTAGGATGTTTGACAAAAGCAAATACATGTGATATCTCTTCAAGTTTTGTTAGGTTGTGGGGATTTTTTTCTAATTGACTTGGACTTTCTTCCATTTATTAGCCTTATTTTTCAAAAACTTTTGCACTTAGGAAAGTAGGTTATCGCCCTATTCTGAAATTTAAATAAGGAAACATAGAAATCCCTGAAATTGCAACCAGCAGTTAGACGTCAGTCTCTGTTCAGTGGTTGGAAGACCTAGGATCAAAATGGAAGTTTGGATTCTGCATCARCTTCCATGTTCTGTTCTTACAACTTAAAGGGATGGATTGATTAGAAACTCARGAGAACTGACTTCAGATATATAGTTTGCTTAGTATATACAGCCATGATTTTGTACACACTGCTATGTTTCTTGATCACGTGGACTGGGGTAGATTTCTTTGCTGCTGCAGGTCTTGGATCAAAATACCCTGTCTCTCAGTTGAATATCCTAACATGACCAGCASCCTATTTGGCATCTTGTGTCTTACTGGCCTTCCATCCTTTCCTGTTCTTTGCATGGAGAAAAGCTGTMGTTGGTTCTGATGTATCAGTATAATGTTTAGCCTGAGGAGTTAATCAGCTCTGGTCATGCAGCATTAATGTTACTGTGTGATTTTTTTCTAACAGTATTTCCAAACTATTCTTTTCAAAAATGTCAGATTTTGCCTAAGCTTTTCCTGTAAAATCTCTGAATTTCTAAAATAAAGGTGGACAAATTTCCAATCAGGGTATAAATATCCTACAATGTTATATATGTGTGTGTGTATCAGTAAGAAATTAATCATAAAGTTTTMTTGTTTGCTGGAAGTTAAAAAATGTAGTTCAGCTGCTTCCTTCGGGGGAAAGAAGTTCCCAAGCCCTTCTTTCCTTTTATTATTAAGAAAAAAATTAAAATCCAAACCCAGGCTTKTGTCCCTTGGAGATGTTTGTGCAGCTTTATTTCCTGGGGACAGGGACAGCTGTTCCTTGAATGTTCTTTTAGAAGTAGGGAGGTGTGGCTGTTAACCTCTCTCATGAAGCAAGGTCCAGGAGGTCCTGGGGCAGGCTAGGTAGTAATGCTGGAGTAGTGAAGATTTGTTTYCAGATTAAATCCCAGTGGAAGAATCGTCCTCATCCTAGATACCTGTCCATGAGATGTGGCAGCTACAAGGAAACTGGAGGAGTTTAGTGGGGAGTAAAAGCAGCCTCTTTCTATATTTTAATGGAAAATTTCAGCTGTAGTGGGAAACTGAGATTTTTGTTCCTCAGTGAAAGCAAGGAGTTCCTCTTGCTTACACAACAGCCTTTTTATGTGGCTTTGAAAGTGCAAAAGATTATAAACGATGACCTAGTGTAAAAGTATGAGTATATTTTGATATGGAAGGGTATTGTTGGGAYGGTGTTCAAAGAATTTCCTCGAAGGGTTGACTTCAGCTGCAGAAAAGAGTCCTTTTCATTTTTTGCGTGAATAAGTAATTTCCAATTGTTCTATCTCTGTTCTTGAAAATATTTCAGTCGTTCTGTAAATATATTTTAAATTCCTGTTATTTTTATTTTTTGTTACAGGAGCTAGAGTTAATGCCAAAGACAGCAAATGGTTGACTCCTTTACACAGAGCTGTAGCATCTTGTAGTGAGGTATGTTGCTCTTTCTGACTGCTTTGTGTTAAAATAAGACATCTTAAATTACCTTCTGTCCATTGTTCAGTTTTTAAAGTGAAACTATTCTAAATGTTTGGGATTGCAGAACATTTTTGAACAGTTTGTTTGGCCTGATGCGGGTATATATATACGTATATCACTTGCTTCAGCAGTGAGAAAGGAGGAAGACTATAAACTTAGGAATTTTCAGTTTTGCTTTCTGTGACTTCCATAGCAGATGATTCTGCACAAAGTGTTCTCAAGTCCAGTTTACTTCTCCTCAGGTAACCAGAATGGTTCAGTGAAGTACAGATGAATTAAGATTTAGTATGCCATTTACAGCATGGTCTTTGCATTCCTTCATTTTTTTACCTGCTTCTCTGTTCAGGCAGAGAATTTCTTCATTTATTGAAGAAATAAATGGTTCTATAAAGGCCTGACAGTGTCTTTTTTCTTTTAATTGATWAATTAATAATAATAGTTTTGAATATCACTTAAAAAATTTTTATGTAGGCTGTTTTTTGAAATCTCCCAGTTATACAGTTGCGAGAATATAATGGTGTAAGAAATTACTTTGTTATTGTTTCTCTATGGTCGTTGTGCTAATAAAAAATTTAAATGCCTGTAGAAGATCAAAACAAACAGAGAAATGCTGAGCTTGTTATGTGGAAGAGTGTATGCAAAATTATSTCCTTTGAGATCCTGAATCAAATTGATGCTTATTTCAGTACATCTCAAATAAAGGTTTTATATTAGGAATTTTTTGTTTGGGAAGATAGAATTGAATATTTTAGTTTTGACAAGTGTTGAACTTCAAGCATTTGATACATGCGCTATCTAAACAAGCCTTGTTTCAGTTTTTGCTTTTGAATTCCCTGGACGAATTGCAGTATTTTGTCACCAGCATTAATAGCAAAGTTATGTAGAGATCATGTTATTCAAAAAAACAGCATTTGAAAATGAATCTTCAAGGGCGCTTTATTCCCAAATGCTGTTTGTTCTTGAGATATTTTTAGGCTGTTCCTTTGGGAGCTGACCGAAGCACCAAATGCTGCATTCTTCAGAGCTGAGGAACAATAAAAGCTCTCCATCAGTAATGCTTGCAGAGGCAGAGAAGTGCTCCAAACAAACTGGGTTTAAATGATAAGTTCAAGAAATGCAACCATGGCCATAGTTTTTTAAATATGGAAGATATTAAACAAAATATTAACCAAAGGCAAGCAAGACATGTAAACCAGTTAACTATTTACCCAAAAGGCAATGATAGATGCTTGTCACAATTCTCTGTTCATCAACACAGTGAGTCGTGGGAGCCCACATACATGATTGACGTGTAGGCACTGTTTTCTAGCTGACAGACCTATGTGAGTTTGGGGCACTGGGTAAAAAGCTGTAATGGAAAAACTTGATCATGATTTCAGTAAAATATCTGGATTCTTGAATCAAGGACAGCTGCAATTAAACAAGGACAGTGAAACACAAAATAGCTGAACTTATGGATTTTAACTGTCAGCTACACACATTCAGGCAGCTTCATGTCAAGACAGTCATATTTTTATTTGTGTGAGCCTGCTGTATATTGCAAATCTTTAAAAAAATAAACTCTAGATTCAGTTGTGAAATCAGTAGTTCATATGCATGTAGAAATGAGAGTCATTGTTTTTATACTAATATTATGGTGCGTCCTTCTGCAAAAGGGGTGATAGCTGTTCTAAAATTTCCTTGTTCCGTTATGGTTTTTCTTAATATTTGGGTTAAAAAAGACAAGAGTTAAAATGTAATTAGTTTTTTKAAGTACTAAGTCTCCTTCAGTTTCTCAGAGAGAAGAGTTACTCAGTTTTTTCATTACAAGCCTGTGAYACAGTATTTTCACTTTTGTGTTTGTTCCTGTCTTATTTTTTATTGACAGTGTGAGAAATTTCAACATCTTAAATGTGATTTGTTATAATATTAATGGGATCAATAGTTACTTAGTATTCTGCTTGTAGCTGAGAATACAATACCTTGCTATTGTATCACTGTGCAATTCAAAATCTCTAGTAACAACTTGTGGTAGCATGTTTTAAGTTCAAAGTGGTAATCAATTATTTGTGTGCTCAGTGACTGAGTTGGCAGTCAGTGAAAGCAATYAGTGAATCGTGGGAAGGTCACACAGCTGATGTAAAATGCAATGTTCATCATCATGTTGATACTGCCAGCACGTTTATTTTTTTATGCATTCCAATTGCATGTGCATATTTTAGTGGGATTTGTTTATCTTGCTGTAAAAATTAGAGTCTTATTTGTCAAATTTTCACAGCTTGTACTTTTAACAAAAGGAAATGAATAATCATTTTGAGCGATAGAATTCAGTGCAATATTTTAAAACGGTTTTCAGGAGTTTTGCAACACTCTATGTTGAAACTTTTTGYAACCGTGACCTGTTTTATCTGTGGTTCTCTAAATGTACATTTAAGAACCTGGGGTTTGCCATTTATACAGTTGAAAAACTTTGCTTGGCAATTGATTATCTGTCATAAAATTTATTATCAGTTCATAGTACTTCATTAATCCTTGGCTAAGGATTCCATTAATGGAAGAAATCCTGGAGTGGTTTATTAAACGTTGGAAATAAATTGTGATGGCAAAACCATTTTTCATGTGGCTTAAGGAACTGGATAAAAGACCTGGAAATAGTTAATTTGGTTAAATCATTCATGTCCTTGAGAACATCTCCAAGTTTGGATTTATGATAAAGTTAAAATCCCGAAGTGTCCCGAAGMTTATGTTTGTATACGAAAAAATTGTAAAGAGTTGTATTCCACTGTATTGTCCTTAAATCCAAGACAGTCATTTCTGGTCTTTACTAAGTGGCTTGGYTTTTCTGTAAATGCTTTCAGGATGCTGTTCAGGTGTTGTTAAAGCATTCAGCAGATGTCAATGCTCGTGATAAAAACTGGCAGACACCCCTACATATAGCAGCTGCAAACAAAGCTGTGAAGTGTGCTGAAGCTTTGGTGCCTCTCCTAAGCAATGTAAATGTGTCTGATCGAGCAGGCAGAACTGCATTGCATCATGCAGCCTTCAGTGGACACGTTGAGGTAAAAGTGAATTTTCTTAACTTGTTTCCCACTCATCATTCTGTCYCTCACATTCCTGGTGTTTTATTAATGACTTTAAAACCATTTCTCCCCCATTCCCTCTAAAAGCCCCAGCCCGTATTTTGTATTTGAATTTGGTTTTTGTATGCATCTCTATGCAGAAAAGTTGTGAAAAATAAATGTTACATCATTCAGTTGGAAGGTTATTACAGTGTTTGCTTTTCTTATAGCGGAAGCAAATTTGTTAAGAGATGTTAAATTACTAACAGGTAAATATAAAATGGAAAAACCAGGATATTTTTCTGTTCAGTAAATAGTGAACATTCGGAATACGTTGTCACTGAAATGTGGAGGAAATACATGTAATAAGCTCTAACTCCCTAGTCACTTAATAATAACCTGAAAATTTGAAAGATTTTGTGCCTTTACCATATTGAACCGAGAAATGTTTCTGTTGACATCAAGTTTTGTGTTCTTTATAGTCACCTCATTGTAACAGCCAGTTTTTTCAAATTTATAGAATATTTAAAACCCAACACATTTAAATCCTCTGAAAACACATAAATTTTTGTTTTCTTCTGTGGTTTTCTTAGTTGAAGCAAAATTTTCCATAATTAATAGAAGATTTCTCTTCTTTCTCTTTTTCTCAGATGGTCAGCTTACTATTGTCTAGAGGGGCCAATATTAATGCATTTGACAAGAAAGACAGACGAGCTATACACTGGGCAGCATATATGGGTATGTATGTATTTCAGTTGATTAATACTACAGTAACAAAAATATCATCTGGTGTTTAGTGGTTTTACRTATTTCTAGGAAAAGCATTTGCAACGTAAGCATTGAAGTTGTGTCTGCCAAAAAAACACAAATAGTGTGGTTCAAATTGCCTTGTAAATGTGTATTTTGTGGTGAGGAAAATCAATTTGTTGTAAAAAGAAAAGGTAAGTAGTTTTGTTCTTTAAAAAGAAAGGACTATRTTCTTCAGTCAGCAAGTCTAGTAATAGGTGAAAAAATTTGCAGTAATGCTAAGTGAAAAGTTAGCAACATATTCAGTGGGCACCTCAAACAGAGGACTGTTACAACAACCTTGGGGATTGTCTTTTCAATGAATATTTCATCTCTGAAACTAAAATTCTTGCCTTGCCATTCTTATTCCAGGAGTGGATAATTAATGTTCTCATTGTCTTGATCAATGCCCTGGCAATACTGTCAGAGTAATGTTCTTCTTTGCCTTTTATCAGACTTGAAAATAATTGAATGTGCCAGTGAATTATGAAGTCATCAGCACAGCATTAGTACTCTTAATTTATTATTTGAAGCTGGATGAGATTGCACTTTGGGTACTGATACCAGTACKTGATACCCCAGAAATTAAAGAACAATCTTCATTATTATTCTAATGTTCTTCACAATATTTTGCGTTTTTAATGTACTTCGGTCTGCAAAGCAATGTTTGTGAGTCTGTCCAGCGACTCACTGAAGGTGAATGTTTGCAAAATTTTGTTGAATGAAATTTGTGCATGCAATGTCAGAGAACTGACAAGAGTCAGTGAGAGGCCAGAGACATCTGACTYGTGCTTACCTACATGAGAGAAGTCTTCTGTTTTTCAGATAAGCTACATTTATTCCAGTTTTAATTAGTGCTATTTTGTAGGCTATTTACAGGAAACTTAATGAACAGTGTTTGGGCAGGAAAAAYGTAATTTAACCAATGTCACTCTACCTAAGTATGCTTGTAGACAATAGGGAAGCAAAAACTTTTGGAAGTGTTCAATCAAAGAAAAAAATTACAACATTCTCTCTCACAATTTAGAGCCATTGTACATGGCTCTAATTGTTTAAAGAAAACCTTAAAAGCTTTTCCACCATGTAAAACTGACCATAAAATAAAAAAGTTGTGGTTTTCGTCACTCTACTATAAATAACTTTCTAAGGTTATGTCCATTGTTTAGCTTCCTTCCTGCTTTTCACCCGACTCCATTGCTGTCCAGCTGCAAAGCTGCGACTGAAATGGACTTACATTCCTGTGTGCTGGTGTTGCCCTCATTGGTGCACAGGGATTTCTCTGCAGCACTTCTCACATCAAGTACCTTGCTCTTCTCTTTGAGAGTCTTCCACTGATCGCTGCTTGCATTTTCAAACCAGGTCAGGGTTTTTTTTTTTGTTGTTGTTTTTTATCTTTTAAAGTTTTTTTTCTGACACTGTTCGGTTCACTGTCTCTATTTCTTTCATTGCTGTCAATATCTTTTGTACGTCTATCTCTCGTTTTCATTCTTTTCTCCATTGTATTTGGGTCAGAAGATGAGTATCATGTTTGCATTTCTGTTTCCCTTCTTTCCTACTATACTGACGTAATTAAGAAGTGAAATATTGCAGCGCTTCATGTTGCTCTGGTAGAGTCTTAMAGTTTTGTTTGGTATAGATCTGTGAAATGGTGTTTTGTATGCTGTTGGGTATGCAGTAGAATGTAACTATCACAGTGTCTGAATGTATATAAAAATAGCTCTGTCTGTATTCCTTTGGGCACGCACTTSCTATTCAAACTTTTGCAAATTCTCTTAAATGCTTAAAAAGCAAAGACCCACACTCTTTGTGAAACACTTAAACTGAAAGGTGGATATGATACTTTCTACTTAGCTGYCTGACTGGATAAGTATAAACTAAAGTATTCAGTGTCCCCCTCATCACTTCTTTAACTAAGGTAAGGGYGTCACTTGAAAGATAAAGAGTCCCACGTGCCTGTATGGGTCAGTTACAAAGGTAAAGCACCAAGTGTGTTGCGGTATGTTAAACTCTTTACTGGTGTACTTCTTTATTCTGCAGACTTTGTCATGACTGCCCCTGTGTTTTCAGTGAGGACTTGTTTGGCAGTTAAATTAACARCAAGCAAAAATTCGGTTACCCTGTTTTCATGGCTTCTTAGTAGCTGTGGAGAAGCGTGTGGGCGTGGAAGGGAAAAGCTCACTGCCCTTTGCAGCAGTGGTGGCTGTTGGTGTTGGTGTCCCTGGGCCAAAGATGGCAGTGACAGCTACTGCACACTGCTTCAAGGGTGGCTCCRTGCTCTCTCTTCTCTTTTCCACCTGGAACTTCCCCCATGTCATGCCTTCTTCAAGATCTCAACTGGACTCTTACTCTCCTTCCACTGTCTTAGGAGAGCAGTTGATGCTTTTATAAGGCTACAGTTCCTCAAAGACCATCTGAGTCAGTCTTGAAAATAGAGCTTTGCTAAATCTTGTATGATGTCACTTAACATTTTAAATGCTTTGCGGGTAAAGGAAGTTGGATTGGGTGGGGATACATTTTTATGTAAAAATAGAATATTTCCTTCTTTTTGTATTTGCATCTACTTTTCAAAGTTTCASTGTAAGATTTAAAAATCTTTATGGGCGTGTTAGGAATTGGAGTGATGGTGTAAGATTGACAGTCACCTTGTCTCTCGAGTAGTTAATGTAAATTTGCAGTAAAAATGTAATAATTATAAAGTTACTTTGCCTCTCTAGTTCTCAAGTCGTCAAAAAAAAACCCTTCAAAAAAAACCGCTGTGTAAGCAGAAGACAAGACTGTGTCTTGAGTATAAAAATTTATTTTTATAGTGTAAATGCTATGGTTGTTGGGTGTGGTGTGTGGAGCTAATTAATTTATGTTGCTTTTATAGTTCATTACAGGATTAGAAAAGAAGAACCATTCTTTATTTTCCGYATTAGGTACAAAGGAATAATGTTTTGATCTTGTTATAACAATTGTAGAATTATTAAGTTTATGATCCTGTACTGGTTAATAAAARATGATGCTTTATTTTATTTGTCTTTATTATTTTAGGTCATATTGAAGTTGTGAAATTACTCGTGACCCATACAGCTGAAGTGACATGCAAAGACAAGAAATCATATACACCCTTACATGCTGCAGCATCTAGTGGGATGATTAGTGTAGTCAAATATCTTCTGGATCTTGGAGTTGATGTAAGGAAAAATAAAATGAAGGGGGGAAATACTTTTTCTATTGTTTGAAATGCTTTGTTKGTACTGTAGCACACTGTTTATTTAGGGACAGATTGTGATACAGTGAAAGTACGTGAATGAAGATCTCTGTAAATACTACTTTTTCTTTTCTAAGCGCTCATTTCTCCACTAAGAGAAAACCTTCTTAAAAGCCTTGCAGATTTTGTACAATAATTTGAAAATAAATGTGTATTTACTAGGGCTTTTTGTTTATTTGATATTTCTTGCTCTTAATTCATTGGACTGGAAGTCAGGAAGTAGGAATTCCGATCCTAGCTTTGCCACACAATCATTTTTGAAGTGCAGGAAATAAAATACTTTTGCTTTAGTTGGTAAAATATAGATGGTACTGACTTTCCTGCATGACATAAATTTTAGAAAATACTAAAAATTGTGAGAAACTTCAATACTACAGTAAGTGAGGCCATATTAATATTGTAATGCAAAATAAATTAGAAGGGTCTACAGTACCTGCCTTTAGAAAGTGTGTTAACAGGAAACTGTGCAACTGTGAAGAAATCTATATTGTGGATCAAATTTCAGTCTTGCAAGGCTGGAGAGTGCAATCCAAGCTCTGTATTGAAAAGCACATCAGAATTCAACATCATGTTGTATACAACAAGAAATTCTGTTTCCATATGTACACATACCCACACACACACACACGAAGTCTAAGTGACTTCTGTTTTTAAGGAAAACTTGCAATGCTGTTTTATAGAGGTCCGTGCTATGCTTTGTATGTAGTGTCTGCACAAATTGCCACAGTTAAYATTTTTGCTGTGTGTGTGTTCTCTTAAGTTGCATACAGGAARCAGGCATGGAGACAATTGGAGGAGGTTGGCTCACTTGTAAAGTAATCATACTCTTCCCCAGTACACAGATCTCAATCAAAATGCTATGTCCAKAACTTGCTTTTAATTTCTGGTTTTGAAGAGTGCCAAAACATAATTTCATGACATGAATTTTTATTTTTTTTTATTGCATTAAATGCTTCATTAAGTACAACTTTTTGCCTACTAACTAATCTTGGTTTTTTTTTTTCCTCTGATAGATGAACGAGCCAAATGCCTATGGAAATACTCCTCTCCATGTAGCTTGTTACAACGGGCAAGATGTTGTAGTGAATGAACTCATAGACTGTGGTGCTAATGTAAATCAAGTGAACGAGAAGGGGTTTACACCTTTGCACTTTGCTGCTGCRTCGACACATGGAGCATTGTGTTTAGAGCTCTTGGTCTGCAATGGAGCAGATGTAAATATAAAGGTAGGTGTATCCAAAGCCATCTATTCACACTTAAAAATGTTGTACATCTTTGTCAGAGGTAGGTTTTTCAAAAATACTTTTCTGATAACATGGAGATGTTCCCARTGATGGATGGAGTATTTGTGTGAAAAGTGCTACAGTGAGCCGGTGTGTTGCTTCAGGAAACTTGATCTGAATCTGGAAACCTCAGTGGGATGTATTATATAGCCCAAAAGGATGAAGAATGACAATATTATCTGGTCAATCTCAATTGCTTTTAAATGTCAGAATTCAGCATGATTTGTTTTCCCTAGTCTAGCCATATATATAAGAGCAAATAATTTGAAAAAATGCAAAAGTACATGATTTTCTTATAAATAAGTAACATGAATGAAATCAAGGATATTTCAGGGAAATGTGTATGAACAGGCTAATAGCTGGAGCAGTTGAAGAGATGATAAAATCTTAGAATCTAACTAGTCAGAGAGATTTTGGAAGGGTGTTTTAAAAACAGATATAAGTAGATGAGGTCAATGGAAAGTCTTAACAGCTGGTGTTATAATTACTCCATAATTACTGAGCAGAGTCWGTATACATTTCACTTCCCCACTTGGTCATAGTTCTTTGACTGCAGAATGTTCCTTAAAATCTGATTTTATTGTAGGCAGAATTTAAAACAAGCAAGTTTCAAAGGAAAYTGTCTCTTCTATTGTCTTCTGAAGTGTGTAGGGTAAGGTCTTGAGATRTGTGAGAGAGATGTAAGACCTTCTGTTTATTATTATGTTGATTTTTACTTTAGTAATGAGAACTTACGTGTGTTCAGAAATAYTTAGTGCAGTATCTGGTGTCTTGGCAGGTTTCAGGCTGAGCGAAGTGGATATATGGAATTAAGAGTCCAGGTGGCAAAATATCTGGATGCCTGAAATATCACCCACATGTAGTATGAAGAGAATTAGCTGTTGWTTAATTTCTTGGGAAAAAGTGGAGAAAAAACTGCTTAATACAGGTTTATGCTTGAATTTCAGCACAGTCTGTGCAGGAGGTGATATTGGCATGGCTGACATTTGTGTTAAAAATCTTGGGGTTTGTGGTTCACTTCATGTAAGCAGTGATTTTTGCAGTGATTCATGCTGATTTTTGGCTAACTAATTCCAAAATAYAATTTTATATCTATTGTTAGTACAAAACTCATAGTCAACTGAAAATTTGGGAGTGGTTTAAAAATAAGCCTTTTGGTGTGGAAAAATCCTAAATGTATGTTCCTGCTCACTTACATATATTTAGATGTGCAACTCATTTAATGAAAATGTACACAACTCGTTTGTGGAAAAATTCATCACCAGAGTTCCCTGCAGAAGTAAGGGGCTGTGTTACAGGGTTTAGTGCCAACTTATCCTAAAATATCCAGGTCACAGTCCATTTATTTTTGTTGCCAGCTTTCTGCTCTGCATAACGTCCCCGGCTGCATGACTGAGTGTTCAGTGTTGCAGCGCTGGCTGACTTTTGTCCTACATTCTTGGAACATCATTTTTCAGTAAAGTGTSGTCTGCCATGAAAATAATCCCACAGTGTTAAATACACTAATGATTGTATTCATATGATACTCACRCAAATAAGAACAAAAGAGAATTTRYAGCACCTTCCAGTGCCTGAAGGGAGCCTGCAAGAGAATTGGAGAGGGATTTGGTGCAAGGGCGTGGAGTTACAGGGCAAGGGGAAATAGCTTCAGACTTCAAGGGTARGGTTAGATTAGATATTAGGAAGAAATTCTTTACTGTGAGGGTGTTAAAGCATTGGAACAGGGTGTCCAGAGRAGCTRTGGGTGCCCCATCCCTGAAAGTGTTCGAWGCCAGGSTRGATGGGGCTTTGAGATACTCATTCTAGTGGAAGTTGTCCCTCCCCCTGCTAGTGGGKTTGGAACCAGATCTTTAGGSWCTCTTTCAACCCAAACTGTATGATGCTATGAAAAATAKKAACAAGCCAAGAATTACTGTTTTTSTAAATGCAGGGCTGCAAGGKTTCGTGACTTTGTGCATATTTCTGATGTAGAAGAAAGAATTGGGCAGGACTCCATTTCAGAAACAGCATTAGTAGCTTTAGCTATAGGTTGGTTGTAATTAAAATGTGTTGATTTAGTGTGTATTGAAACTCTTAAGTGCAAAATTAAGCAAGTAGGGCTGTGTGGGATTTTAAGCAATTATAGCTTGAAAACAGCATTTGTGCTTTTTCCTCATCAAGGTGTTTCTGTTATAATTCTGTTAGTAGAATTTATGTGGATTTACACCAGCATGACTGAATTTGGCCTGTAATTTACACCTGGAGGCATGAACAGCCTTACTTTGCATATGCAAACTTARCACTTGCACTGTTGAAAAGTGCAAGAACTGAGGCAAAAGGACATCATTTCCCAGTCAACTTCTACTTCCCTGGAAAGGCCTATAAAGATAATCTTGGATTTAATTAGAGGAGCAATCCGTAAAAAAATAGAATATGTTGTGTAACTAAGAATGAATTGTGGATTTAAAATGAGATGGAATTAAGGTGTTCTTACCAAATATTTATTGCAACCAAGGCTGTTCAACTTCCAAATACTGAAGYTGAAGTTCAGAGTAATTCTTAAAATGTTTGTAAGCTCTATTTTTCATCATACTTATATTACTTCTGTAAGCTGATTCAGTATTTCCTCTCATGTGCAACTGTTTCTATGGTTTTAGAGGTAACAGTGGATTTGAACTGTAGTCTAGGTGCAGACTAGACAGTACTGTTAAAGTATTTTGTGCTGTGGATGACTTAGTGGGGAGAGCAAAAGGGAAACACTTATTCTTGATGGCAGATAGAGGGTAAGTTCTTGTGCATATCTGTGAGTGTTGGCCTCATCYAAAAAAGGGATTATGTAGCAGAAGGTAATAGAACAGTACAACTATGTTATATGCTTTTTATCACCTCTGGACATAATTTCCTACTTGTTTTCATAGCCTTGTTAGTGTCCACTGTAGAACAGTGAATCTTGTTAAGTATTGCTCATTATTGCAGCACTCSCTCCTCACTATTCAGGATTTCCATGCATGGATGAACACATTGAAAGGAGTATGTAATGGGACCATATTAATTGTTTTATGGACCCCATTGCTGCTTGAAAATTCAGTGACCTAAATAGAAGAAGTTTTGTATTTCCATTGGTAGTACTAGAACATAAGAATTGTTGCTAGGGGGAGATTTCACTTGGAGGAATGCTGCAACATGATAGACCCACATTTCCTCTCCCTCAGTGAAGTTCAGTAGTCTGAGTACAGTTAATGCGTGGGTAATCACACGCAGTAGGACACCTTGTGCTGTGTATTACTTGCCTAATAACAATTACTGTTCTTAGCAAATTTTATATAATCTAAGTATTTTGTGGATATGTTTTCTCTAGTGATAGAGGAGAATTGGATGATTTCTTTCCTATTACCACATTTAGCTGAGTTTCAGTGAAGACAACAAAAGTTATCATTAGCCCAAAGCTAATGTCCTGTCATGTGCTGTGATCCTGTCTGATCTTGTTAAATCACATAGTTGTGGTTAGCTTGATGTTTAGATAGAAGACCTTAAAGGCATAAAGAAAGGGAAGCTGAAACAAAAGTTTTGAAGAGACCTCCCTGCTTATGSAGTCCAACCTCCTGGCATCTCAGCAAATAGTGATTTGCTTAATAGAGCCTTGATATTTCATTGTTTAAAGAAATACTTGGCTACTGGTTCTGATCCTGTATATCCTTTCCTAGTGGCAGCGTCTTAGAAGGGAATTCTGAATGCATCCTATACCTAGCAGTTCAGCTTCAACATAGGAATTATCTTAATTTAATTTTATACCTATTGTRTGTTTAAATGTTGATAGACAATTGTACATTGTGTTATTCCTGGGTTGGACAGGAACCTGAGACTGTTASACATGAGAGAGCCAYTCTCATAAAATCCATTGTCWTAGAAATCTATRTTAAGTSYATTTTTAAGTAAATTTGAACAGAGTAAATCTAAAAATCTCTTATTGATTGTACTGTGTTTTTTCCATTTATAAGTGGAAAAATATTTTGCTGTTATTAGCTATTATTACGTAGCTTATTTTGCTGTTCTTTGCAAGATCTTAMTGAAGTTTTCTTGTGAGGGTTCTTGCTTAACCACAGTGTTCTTCAGTGTCTAATACTGTCATCTTAGGYTATTCCTATGTCTTTGTAAGGTGCATTATTAGATCTATCATTTTTCAKCTCCATCTTCTTCCTCTTCATTAGCCTTCCTCTGAGATACACATTTATCCCGTCTAAGCCAGTGGGACTGCAGGCTGCTTTCATCTGAGTGCTGGAATTCTTGTCTGTTAATTCACTAAGCTTATTCTRTATGATATTTGTCCTTTAAATTAATAGATTCTATAGATTCTTCAGGTTAAAGGAGGATAGAAGTGAAGGGGAAGGTCACCAGATGTCCAACAGTTGTTTTAAAGTAATTGGACACAGMGACTGTTAATAGTTGGATAAAGAGACAAGAACTAAACTGTAGGGAGAATGATGAAAGAAAATCGGAACACAGAGATTGCTTCAGGAAGTTGTCACTTACGGTGTGTTTATTTGGCCTCTTCTTAAGGCCTCTAATGACTGAATGAAAATTGATTGTCTAATTCCTCAAGAGGATTTCAACCCCATTTTCWGTGTTTATTTACATCTGCTATGGATATGTGGATGTTGTCTTGGATGATTTGTGGTCAAAATAATCTGCTAGCTGGCAGATCTGGAGATAATTTGACTTTCCTTATCAAGTGTTTTATTTTTTCATCTTTCAGTTTTATTTTTTCAGTCTTATTCAGAAATACTTAGACAGTATTTCACATAATTGTGTTGTTATGCTGCTCTGGGCAGTGATGTAATGAAAAATTCCCTGTCCATCCGTAAAAGGGTCTCCCGCAGACTTTCAGTCACACATCCATAGAACCAGGTCCATTTGGTGTCAAAGGGAGAGGAAAGATGGGAAGACACTTTTGCATATGACAGCAATTTGTGATATTTCGATACATATGTTCATATAATTTGTTCCCCCTACCATCTTTGTCTAATTTAACTTTGTATTTTGTGGCCATTCATACTGTTCAAAGCCATCATTGAAAATGTAGGTGTGGTATTCATGTTCATTCAAGGGTCCTTTGATTTTTTGTGTCATGTTTGCAATTTTTTGAGTGCATGTATAGGAGCTTTTTCTGTAAATCTTTCCCATTACCTTGATAAGTATTAGAGAAAATTATTTCTTAAGTAAAAACAACAGAAAAAACATGGGTTTGTAAGCGCATTGGGATTGAGCTGTTAAAAACTGAAGTTTCCTTATGCATTACYGTTGGCCTGCTTCAAGGATGTCTTTACCGGGTGAATGACTAAGTGCACATTTAAGATGTGCATTTCAAATGTATAGTACCAACTAGGGTTGAAGAGTTGTACTCTAGGATTACTTGGGGTTTATGATAAATGGCTTGCAAACATCATTTTACAGAAATTTCCAGGAAACACATGAACTTTGTAATGTGTTATCTTCTAATATAATATGTAAACGTCTYTACGAAATACAGCTACTTTCTTTCAAGAAACAAACTCAAAGCATTGTTWTGTTTTAGCCTTGGGAAGGGGAGGAGTTGGACATAGGCTTGTTGCTGAAATTGTGTGCTCTCATCATTCTCTTGAAAGTTACTATCTTAAGGACATAAGTGTGAGTGAGTGGGCATCCCTGAGTTCTCACTTACAGCTGAAAGAGTGACTAAGAGCAGCTCTTGTGAAAAGCTTGCCATGTCATGCTGACTTGTCATTGCCAGCATCTGTCTGGCAGAAGTGCACAGAAATTATTTAAATGATGGAGTGTAGAGAGAAAAGGAGAAAGACAAGTCCTTTTTGTTGTTGGTTTGTTGGTTTTTTTTTGTCAGTTCTGATAAATTGCTAATTGCTGTTACTGGCCATAGGTAAACACAGGATTTTTTTTTTTTTTTTCCAGAGTACAGATGGGAAAACACCTTTGCACATGACAGCAATCCATGGCAGATTTTCAAGATCCCAAACCATCATTCAAAATGGTAARAAGGGAGAGGGAGTATTTTTGTCATAAGTTTTCCAGTTTGGATATTTTCATCCTTTTCTATTGGTAACAACATATTGAATTTTTTAATGTCTGGTGTTCAATAACAGTGGTGGAATATGGCRTATCTGTTATAAAATTTGATGAGTTACACTGGTGTGCCATGTCCTTTTCAGAATGCAGGAATGCATATAGATGTTTTCYATAACCCATGTTGTAGACAGTTTGTCCCATAAGGTTATGTAATAAAATGCTTTTCTCTACCACTGAAATCTATATAGGTTTTAAATCCAAAGTGGTCAGTCACCAATAATAACATTACTTGAACCATCATCAGTGCTATTTTTCTAATAAAGTTTCTGCATGCCTACGTATACCCTTACTTAGTAATTACTTTTTATTATAGGAGCTGAAATAGACTGTGAAGATAAGAATGGAAATACTCCTTTGCACATAGCAGCTAGATATGGCCATGAGCTATTAATCAACACTCTGATTACGAGTGGTGCTGACACTGCAAAGTAGGTAACTTTACTGACATGAATGCAAGCTGTCATAATTTGGAAGTGTATTTATTAGATTAACAAGACTAGTATGATTTTTAATATCATCTTCAATTTGAAAYAGGAAATGCTTTGTATATTATACTGTACTGTACTTGTAAGTAGCTAGTCAGTATATCACAATTTTTTACCAAAACAAAGTTAAATAGTTTTCTCTAATGTATTTGAAGTAAAAGCTTTGAACGTTTTAATAGGCTGTTGCACTGACAATGCATGTTGATAGCTTGGAATAATAAAGTGCTTAAGATGTGAAGTTAACTCAGTATTCTAATTAGGTGKTTTGCTGAACCCACCATGCGTGTGCACTTTGGCACACAATCATGTTTGTTTTATTTTAATTGTAATGAAACTGTGATACCTGATTATGGTGTATCTTAGGCGGGGTATACATGGGATGTTTCCTCTCCATTTGGCAGCATTAAGTGGATTTTCAGACTGCTGCAGAAAGCTCCTCTCATCAGGTAGGATACTCTTTTAAAATCTTGCAASGTGCTTTGTACTTCATTTTTTATTTCACAGAGTAGTTTTTAATTAAGTCTTAATTCATTGGTACATAGAAATCCTTATAGTTTACTAGTACCTTTGGGCCAGTGCTTGTTTTTTAATGGACAGTCCATAGTTAAAGTGAATGCAACCTTTGGCAGACATAAGTAAAACAAAATTCATCCAAATTGTAATAATGCATTTGTAAGTTCTTGAATACTGTGTTTGTGCATTTCAAGTTGGCCGTAGAAGTGGAATGACTGGTTCAGACCATAATGAAACTCCAAGGAGAATGACTGAGATTCTTTTTTTATTACTTCATGGAGCATCCAATTTCCCTTCCATGATGTCTTTAGCTTAACACAGATCAGTCTATTCCTTGTCTATTCCTATAGTGGGCACCTTTTACTGCTCTGAAGACTCTGTGGASTGCTACATTAAGAAGCTGTTGCATTGGTAGTATGTAGTTAATCAAATGCAAYGCAAACTGCATTTTTCTTTCAATGTTTGACTCCTCCCTGAAGATGGGGATGTTGGAAAGTCATTACTCCTCTTGTTGGCCAGAATCTTGTGTGAATCCTGAGTTCCTTGAACCAATGCAATTCTGAGAAAGTAGATTTGTCCAAAGGAGGCTTCTGGAACAGAAGAAGAATAAACTAAATGGTTCTATATTAATCTGAARGCACTTAATGTTTTTTGAAAAAAGATAAGTGGAAAGGAGAGAGCTGGGGAAAGAGAAGAGTAGTAAGTTGCTTCCCCAGCTTTATACTGTTAGGGAATCTTGAGGAAGGAACTCAAGGAATGTAACTAAAACTATCTGCTGGAAAGGCTTTTTATTTACTGTCCTGTCATGGGCAAGCTTACAAAGATTCACTTCAGGAAAGAACTGWCCATTAGTTGAAAATATTTCAATTGGATGTGTTCAAAATGAGGGATACTGGCTCYTTCTCCTTTCTGCATGAGATGTTGKGCTAGCTRTGCCCTTACAGGAGATTCAGCATAGCAAAGGAAACCATGTGGATGACTTGCAGGTGGTTTCTGTGACTTAATCATGAATTGAGAAAACTTGGATACAAATGTAGCCTGGAGCAGWTAAGAGCTTGAAGAGTATGTTCAGCCTTCAGGCTAGAAAGACTAGATATTGCTAAGAGCTTTTAGGATGTGCTCTTGGTGTGAGGATTGGTATGGGCAGAGTATGTGTCCTTTTTGGGGTTGGGAGATGTCTCATTTATGTAATTTAAAGATCTCTGATTTTTAAATTCATTARTATTTGATTGCAAGCCTTAACAAAATGTCACCAATCTGCCTTGTCCCGGGACTGAATGACATTCAAGTAGTGAGTGATGGTAGACAATCAACTTAGGGATGTGGAAAGGCATCAAAGGCTATTCTTCAAACCAAATTGRTTAAATTGTTTGCTGTACAGTGTTGCTTATTGAAATGGGATAAGAACATAGTGGTGCATATAAAACCTRTTTTAGGGGATATGGAGTAGGGAAACAGTCTTGAAATAATTGTGTTCTTGAATAACACATCTTGTGCTGATCATTATTTATTGTTGTTGAGCAGTTCTTAAAAGGAAAAAAAAAAAAAACATGCAAGCATTTCCAGGTACTACACCTGGAGATTTAGTAAATAAATTAGATTACACAAGAGCAAGACTCTTAGGAGAGTATAGTAGTTCTCTCAAACCAAAAATGTAGCTTTGAAACCTGATTTAAATAGTAATYTTTGTRTCAAAATRTATGGTTAGATATGGAATTGCAYAGTTAAAGTTTGTGATCTTGGATTKGAAGTTCCACAGCTGAACCTTTTTGGAAAGTGAAAACTACAGTGTTCTTTAAAGAGCTCCTCTGTAATTTACTGCTATTTGCAGCCATCAGTGCAGCTCAGTAAAGTTCTTTCTTTGRRACTAAAGCAYTAWAYTCAAGGATAAAATTTAAGTAACTCYTGTATTTAGTAATACTGACATCSCCACAAATTAATAATCTCTGYACAATTGTAGCATATTCTTAAATTTTCATATTACCTGCCTATATTTGATAYTCAGTAGTAAATTGCATTGAAATATTAGCAGGTAGATAGAATGAGAAAGAGCACGGCCTCAGTGCAGCTACTTGTCTTTTATGTTATCCCTTTGAGTTTTATTTAAATGCCTGTTTTTCAAAACATTGTAAATAACAAGGACRTGTTTCAAATCAAGTAATTTTTAATGCTTAGTGCTTTTTTTGCAAATACYTRTTAAGTTTGCTTAGCAAGCATTTCYCTTAACAGCAGATGATAGCAGTTTTGTGAAAGGTGATGTTACATAATGATTTTACAAAATATTTGCTTTGTAGGTTTTGACATTGACACACCAGATGACTTTGGCAGGACTTGTCTCCATGCAGCTGCAGCTGGAGGGTGTGTAAAGAAGCCTTTATGCTTCATATTTAGTGTTTCTTACTCAATTCCTAATCATTCTTGTTCCTTTTTCTTTTATTTCCTCTCTGCTTTTTCTGCCCTCTCCCCCTGGAACTTATGTAAACATGAAAATAATTTCAGGATGGATTTTATCTGCAAACCAAAAAAAAAAATCAATTAACTGTTCAGCCTAATAAGTCATTGCTGGAGTACAGTGTCCAAGTATCATCAGCCTTACCTTAGGTTTATGTTTGGGGATGAACTGATTTTTTTTTTATTCCCATCGATGATGATAAAATTTTTAGAATTTGCAGCATTCAAAGATGGCATGCCCACCTCAGATCACTGTGGGACATGAGATTGAGAGCAGCAACTTTGGGAAATTGCTTTTTACCAGACCCATAAATTAAAGGTCAGTCTAAATAAACTAAAAGCAATWATCAAATTTCAGAGTTTAGGTGGATGAAGTAGTCAGAACTACTTGCTCATCACTTGAGTTGTGATCCATATTGATTATTGTTATTGTATTGTAGGTTTTCTATAGCAGCTACTCAAAGTTGCCTGGAAGAATTGGGTAATAAATTTCRTGATACACTTTGTGGGACACAAGAACTCCATGATATTGATATTTTCATTTTTCTGTTTGAATGTTGTTTAAGTAATACTGTTTAGTAATCTTTCTAAGTTAAAAATACTTGATAGATACATCCTTGTTGCAAGTGGTTAAGGTTAAAATGCTATCTTCATRTAAAAACCACATAATTTGTGACACATTCCCTCACTCATCTCCAGTTTAGGAAAGCCATTAARATASTGTTTAAACAATAAGCAGTATAGTRCATCTATTATGATTATCATATTTTATTGAAAATTGATTACACTAAAAATCAAAATGTATGTGTTGCAACTTACATTTGGCTTTAAAAAATATGCAGTAAAATCTTTCCTCTGAGCTGGTAACAAAAGCTCATGTCATGTGACATGCAGATGCTAGTGTTTGTTTGTTTGTAAGAGTTGAATTTTTWATTGAATTAAGTTCATGTTTATGTGCTTTATGCATGCCATTTAGTATCAATTAAATTTATATATATGGTCTTGAAATAATTTATATTCTTTATTGGCTTGGTCCAGCAATTATGAAGTCTATTTTACATACAGAAATGTATTTATCAAAAATTCCATATTATAGTTCAGTTCCATTAAAAATAACATAGGAGATGTAGATGTGTAGCTGTTCTGGTATTTGTAGAGGCCAATATTAAGGAAATAAAATTTTGCAATCACAAGTAATAGTGCATTAATTTAATAGGAATTTGGAGTGCCTAAATCTTCTGCTAAAYACTGGTGCAGACTTCAACAAAAAGGACAGATTTGGAAGGTAAGACATTCTAGATTTGTATATTGTAAAGCACTGTTAAAAGTACTGCAGAAGCAGTTTATTGATATGTGGCCATGTCTGTGTTTCAGTTTAAATGTTTTTTATGATATGATGTCTCTAATAAACTGTGTTTCAGCTGGTTATCAAAAGTCACAAACGTATTTTGTTAATTATGTTTTGATAGGTAGGTTTTTACTGTTGTTTTTCAAGGCCGAGTTTCATATTCAGCTGTAATTTTTATGAATCCTTCTACCTTACATGGATCTAATGTGTTTCAATTTCTCTCATCCAGGGCCATTACTGATGTTTTCCAAATAATTTATTAGTGAAATCTATAAGTCTGTTGTCATTTCTAAGCTCTTTTATTAAAATACCCAGTGTTTTATTATAACTGCTTCACCTTTTTCATTTCATGATATCTGTACCTTTTTGTTTCCCTTTTTGAGCTCTGAACTCTTTTGGAATGACATTAATTACTATTTTTAGTATAGGCTTATTTAACTTTAGATGGCAGGATCAGTACTCATGTAAAATCTCACATCACATCATGGAAAATATGATTTTTCCAGGATGTGAACAGCAGGAGTAGGACTTAAGTAAAAGGTTACACATCCAAAGTTATATTTTGCTTTAAATTCCACTTCTGTTACCTCCTGAGTAAGGAACAACTATCTGTCATGACTTTTGTCATCAAAAGTCAGGGTTCCTTGTTGGTTTGATTTGGCTGTTGGTTTAACATTCATGTTATATAGAGCAATTATTTCAGGAGCTAGAAAATACTAGTTTAAAATGGGGAGAAATGGGAAAAAGACATTTTAAGGAAAAGAGCCCTGAGTATCTCCTCAAAATCGAGATATTTATAGCAGCAGTCTCTTTTTAAAAATAGAAAATGGAGTTCTGAGTCATCTTGGTCCATTCAAAATTTTAGCCAAACTGGCATATTTAGAGAATTATTTCTGTATTTGAAGTTTTCTCTGAGATTATACATCAGTACTATATTTCATGGTTTTGTTATAAGAAGACAAAGCATATTTAACAGTGCTTCTGCTATGTCAGTATAGTTAAAAATAAATAATATTGTTTTTCTCTCTTAGGCAAAATTCTGATCTGTTTAATAAAAATGTCTGTTTGTGCAATTGTATTTTRTTTGTGCTATGTTTAGTTGTTGTGCAGTTTTTGATTTGTCCATATTTTTCCATGTGGCTTAAAATGAACAGAAAGTAGTATTTCTAATGTAAAAAAGTTTATGCAAGAAAATTCACATGAAGCTTTTTTAATACAAAGTTCATGCACATTTTGGCTGGCAAATAAATCCCCAATATAATATTAATCATTATTAAGTGGTCCCTAGAAAATGGCCCTATTCCTTAGTACTGCAATGATGCATTTTTCACCACAAATACTTGTTTAAAAATGTAAGGAGGATTTAAGTTTCACTTTATTTTGCTTTTTCTGTCTCTATAATATTATTTTGCTGTTATTTACCATTGTACTTTTTATTTAAATGTGTACTAAAGAACTCCACTCCATTATGCTGCTGCCAATTGTAATTATCAGTGCCTGTTTGCCCTTGTGGGATCTGGAGCTAGTGTGAATGACCTTGATGAGAGGGGTTGTACACCTCTGCACTATGCAGCTGCATCAGACACAGATGGGAAGTAAGTGACATGCTTTGTACTACAGCCTTTCTCATTAGGAGCATTTGAGTTGTGAATTTTGTGTGTGCTCTGCCTTCAGATTTGCCAAATGCATTTCTTGTATTTTTAAAGATTTAATTTGACAGTGGTTTGTACATTGTATGTAAAAGACTTTATGTAACAAATATTTCAGGGGAACAAAGTGCGCAGGAAAATGTATTGTAAAAATTTTATGTCTTACAATGCAGATGTCCTAATTCAGGAATTAATTGGGAATAGAGTTTTTAATCCCATCTGCTTTGTAGTGTTTAAGTAAATATCCTTTGTGGAGTTTATAGAGTTAGTTGTGGGCAGTAGGGCCATTTTGCCTTCATCAAATTCTGATGAAGGATGGATATTAACTTGACATTTCAATATAAGATGCTTTATCTATTTGATGTTTGAGTAAACTAGAGTTGTAATGCCAAACAYAGCTATCTCTTGATAGTGTAAATTTTTATGGTGCAGTAACACTTTTATTGATTACATGCATCCAGAATTTTTCATAAACCCACTGACCTCTTACATGTGTTTGTTTTCTAACGGTTATATTTGACATATTTATTAATAATTTAAGTGCTTATATGCAAAATGTATAGCACCAGACTGATGAGTCTACCTAAGCTCCAGACATTGTATATATTGAGGAGTAAAGAAGAACATCACTTGCTCGTGCACACACACACGTGCAGGTCATGGTGTATGTCATCACATGCCACATGCACACTGTGACGCCTCCTCTGGGGAAGTGCTGCTTTGTGCCAAATCGTCTTTTTTTAATACATTTAATACCTTTTAAAGGGAGAGGTAACAATAGGAATGAGGTGGCATATAACTTACAGATTGTGTTTTGAAGGCTAAATAAAGAATACTTTCATGGCCGTTTAACTTACATTTGAAGGATATGCCTTTTTTCTGTAAAGCCAAATTTCAAAATTAAATTGTCTGCTGCTTTTTAGAAATAATTTCAATTSCTGCTGGAGCTTGCTGAGATAATTTTACTTTAATTGCCCTCTTACAAGTCGAGCTATTTAATTTTAGCTTCACAGTTGCTCTGAAAACCTCCAGACTATAATGGTTCTTTAGATGACATCGTTTTGCCATCTGTTTTACAAAAGGCACAAGCAGGAGTGATGATGATGATAATACTGCAGAACTTTGTGAGGTAACTCAAAGCATCATCTCTGCAACCCACAGGCTGTTACCCTTCTGATTAACATTTGGGTCTCTGGAAGACAGGCTGCAAAGCAGAATGGCCTGAGGGGAAGCTTTTTATATTGATGCAGCAAGATGATTAGTAACAGCTGGAAAACCAGTACTGCTCAGTTCATTGAAAACAGGAATGAAGTTAAAAATTGTTACTGGAGTTGGAATATAAAACCTGGGAAAAAAACATGTCAGGAAGCGATCTATATAAAATTCCAAAGATATTTAGGTGCGTTTTTATGGTCTTTGCTCAGACATCTCTAAAGACAGATTTTAGAGAGGGGTGTTTCTGTTGAAAATTATTTTCTGGTTTATTGCTGTTGGAAAGTATTTATTTTGTATCTTTAACAAATGCTTTTGATCTGGAACAAACACCAGTAAGCCTCATTTTGCCAAGACTACAGAGACAAACATTATTTCAGAATTAGTTAGAATAACTAGCATCTTAGGGGAGGAAAAAATTGTGCTTCTTCTGTCTTAGAATTTTCTAATGGACAGTACACCAATAAATACATGGGAAATAAGTTTTAATTTATCTTTCAGAAAGTTTGATTAATCTCCTTTTTAAGAGACCTGTTGAAGACAGTTAAGTATGCAAATGATGCAAAGTTAACCTCTTTCTCTGCATCCTCTGGATGCAAAGAAACATAAAAAAAATTATCTGGTTTGCACTGGAAAGATTGGGTACTTGAGGATTTTCAGCAGACTTGGCTCCATGCAGTGTATTTAGTGTATTGTAGAAATTTATGTAGCCAAAGCCAGTGACATGTAACATTTATTAATGAGCCATGAATGTTAACACAAAATTACTGATTCAAATTAAAAAGAAAAGTTAGAAGATTGGACTAGTGAAATGTAAGAGCCGTAATTCTTACTTAAAGAAACAAATTTATACTGGGCAAAAATTTTTTATACTGGGCAAAAAATGATCGAAGTGAGAGTGCACTTCTGATAAAAAAGTATTTAGTGATCCCAGAGAGAAAAAGGCACGGTGACCTGTTGTGCACTTCACAAAAACAAATGGCTTCTCCAGCAAGCTCAAGATCATGATAATGACTTTGGAAAACATTGCTGAAATGGTAGACAAAATTATGAAACAGCAGGGTTATTGCTTGTAAACATTTGGAGTCTCTTAGAAAACTAGGGAAAGAGTGAGCTGACTTGAGTCCTGTGTTTTTCCTTCTCCTGGCTGAGTGTCTGTGGTTGAAACTGGGGTGATCATGTTCTAATGAAACTAAGGAATGACAGAAGTAGGACAACAACTGAGTATTTATTGTATAAATAAATAAAAAAAATAGTGGCTGGTAGTGGAAGTGCGTGTGTGTGTGTTACTCTTGTATCCTTCCATGAATAATTCAGCTACTGCTTCTCTTCTTTCTGTGTAACATACAGAAGAAGGGGCTAATGCAGAAAAAACATACAAAACAGTAACCACTGATACCAGCAAATGTAACTGCAGTTGTGTTAGCTAGGAGGAAAATACTAGTTTTAACCAAGTCAGACAACTCAGAAGATGCAGGATGTCTGCAGAGAATTCTTTCAAACTTAAAGGCTTTGTGATTGACCCTTACAGTTGATGTAATGAGGTTGGTTTCTCTAGTCCTAGCCAATATTGTACATTAAATCAGTGTCCCTGTGTGCTGTATTCTATTTTCCAGTTGAATTGGAACAATGTATCACTTAGCATTAAGTTGAAATTCAGCATTTAGATACATGGTTGCATATGTCAATTTGAATAGGTGCCTGGAATACTTGCTAAGAAACGATGCCAACCCTGGGATCCGAGACAAACAAGGATACAATGCAGTTCATTATTCAGCTGCTTACGGTCATCGCTTATGCCTTGAATTGGTAAGAAAATACATCATAGATAAAAGGTGTAACAGCTGCTCTTACAGAGTATGATGGAGTGGCCAGGGGATTCCTCCGCCTCAGCTCTCACCTGTCAGCTGGGTCAATAATGTTTTGCAGCCTCTGTGTAGATAAATTTAAGCATTTGGTGTTCCTAAAGCGGAAGCAAGATGAGGAGCTAAGATGCTAGATACTGGCTTAAAAAGCTGATAATTCTCAGGTGAAGAGATAACTAGTTGAGGATGTGGAATATTAATTTTGGTTTCTTTCTTAATTTAGACTACACTACTAAATCTTTTTGCTGGCTGAAATAAAATAACCACAAATTATCCCACAGAGAAGTGTTAAGAAATTTCATTAATGTCATTTGAAAGGAGCAAATGAAAATGTGGGGAGAACCTGTAAACAAAGGATGCCTTATAAAATGGTTCATGCAGTTACAGTAGCTTATGGCCACATAATAGAATTTCCCATAATAAGGCTATTGCTCATTTTTTATTGCTCCCTTTGCAAAAATATGTATATTATTTGATATATTGTGTTACACAACTTCAGTATTTTTATAAAAATTGCACTTTTATATTCAAATGTATTGAAACATGAATTCTGAATGTTTTTAATTACAGATTGCAAGCGAAACGCCTCTAGATGTTGTAAGTGTACTATTTCTTACTTTTTAAGTACTACTATACAGCAAAAAGGAACATGTAATTTTAAAAATACTGCTTATTTTTTTTACTTGTTCAACCATTTCTTCAATGCATGAATGTATCATTTAATTTTAATTCCAATTTAGATTTAATTGGACTTTAGAATTTTAAAACAGGAAATTATTTTCTAAGCCATGTGGGTTTTTTTTCGTAAACAATTGTATGATCATGATATAAAAGTGTGATAATGAAAATGTAGTTTTAATGTATTTGGTGTTCTTCAAACASTTTGWATGTTTTAATTCTGCTAATGTACTCAATTAAATACGGTCTTGAAAAAGACCCAGAATCAAAATTTTAAAACACATCTGAAAGTCACAGATAGAAATGTATATACATAAACATTTTAATACTGTAACACTTTTGGGATTTTTAGTCCATTTTTTCTCTCTGAGAAATGTTTTCCTATTCTGAGAAATCCATGCTACCTTCTGGCCATTCATATTGTTTTCTTGCTGACTATTCACCTAATCAAAATGCTTACTTGTTCTTTGGGGCTTGTTTTCTTCCCTACTGCTGCTGCTGTCACCTGTCCTTGTTTTCCATTTGTATTCATCTTTCATATTGCTACTTCAGAAAAAAAATATTGATTTTAGTTTTGTTTCTGATTGAATTATTGCATTATGGTGCAAAATTAAACTACTGCGCTTGGAGCATGAATATGGGGTGGTGTTGCAGTTGATTCAAACTCTGTAGAAGGTTGAAGATCAGCAGATCTGTTCTATACTATTCTTCCTATTTTTTCTCCTTTATTTTTTAATCTGTGTGCATGGGAAACTGTAGCAATTATTGTTGAGTGTTTTCAAAGGTGAGGGGGTTTTGCACTCACTTTGACTTTCTCTCTTTAAGCTGATGGAAACATCAGGTACTGACATGCTGAATGACTCGGACAACAGAGCGCCTATAAGCCCACTGCATTTAGCTGTAAGTGTTTAGTGATGACCACTCGTCTGCTAGCAAACAGTTGTTGCACAAGTTTATTCATTCTGGTTTTGTTTTTTTTTTTCAAAATACATTAATAACAATAAACAAAATTAAAAGATAGGTACTAATATTCCTGAATGAGGTATGCAGGATGATTTTTGCATTTCGCTTGCTTCATGGAACAGCTTTCATGTGAAATCTTCTAATTAAAATTTATGCTGATGAAACCTTTATAAGACTTGTTCTATACAGAAAGAAGAATTATTAGAAGAATTAGAAGATTAAAGAAAGTAATTATTACTTTCTTTAATCGTTATCATGTTTTACTCTCATAATTGTTTAGTATGAGAAATATTTATCCTCAATACTTTAAGGAAGATTTGCATTAGGAGTAGTGTAACACGGGGATGAAATTCTGTCTATACAAAAATGTTCAAAATACAGAGTAATCAGCTCAGTGTGTAGTTTTGCTCTTTTCACTGAATTTAAACCAACTGAAAAACCACGCGGTACTTTCTACAAATAGAGTAAGTCTCGTGCAATACCTTTATATATATATGTATCTCCAAAGTAAAAAATAATCTTTGGTAGTGGTAAATGAAAGCTATTTGTACTGCAATCTTATTACTGGGGCTTTTAAAAAAATGTTTTATGTAAAAAGCTAAAAGGAATTACTTCAGTTTGCTTATATCCCTCATTTGAAATAATCTGAGGATGATGTAACTACAACATAAAGCGATGAAACATGCAGTAGTCAAAATATTGTTGTTATTTATGCAGATTGAAGACAGATTATTTTCTGAGAGTAGTTGCAGTTGATGACTGAAAGGATACAATTGAAAAAAAACACCAACCTTCTTGCTGGAGTAGTGTGTTTTTTTTTTTAATTAGTTGTAGCTGTTGTAACTGCTTATGTGCTGCATCAGTTGCCTTTCCAAATGCTAAAACAATAATAGTGTCTTAATAGTTTCATTTATGTAGTTCTGGCAAGAAAGGGAAAAATGTTAAGGATGGAAAAATTGAAGAATTTTTTTATTCTTGTAGGCCTATCATGGCCATCATCAAGCTCTGGAAGTGCTGGTACAGTCACTGCTGGACCTTGATGTGAGGAATAACAATGGAAGGACACCACTGGATCTTGCTGCCTTTAAGGGACACGTGGAATGTGTAGATGTGCTCATTAATCAGGGAGCATCAATCTTGGTGAAAGATTATGTTGTAAAGAGGACCCCAATTCATGCTGCAGGTATGTGCTGGCCACTAACCTGTAAAATTTTGGCTTTTGAAGTGGATCATCTCTTTAAAACTCTGTCATTCATGTTTTAGGAAACAATGTTTAGGAATAGGGGATGGCATCTAAGGTATTTGCTGTGCTGAGAAAGGTGTATCAAAAGAGTTGCAGACAGGAAGCAGTATTAATCCAACAAACCAGTTGAGTCCAAGCACTGCTGTTCCACACTTCCCTCTGGAAGGGTGCATTGTCCTTGTCCATTCGATGGCTGGGCTAGCTGTGCTGGCAGGTGTCAGTGACATGTCCCTGCTTCTCTCCGTGTCCTTCACACAGCCTGAAATGCTGGCCCAAATTTAGATAGGCAAATTGTGTGCCTGTCTTGGCAGTAAAATACTTCTAAAAATTACTGGAGTCTTGGAGAATTTTGGCAGCTTGAGAAGAGATACGAAAACTTACTTTGATTTTTTTCCAAGGATTTAAATGACTCCTGAGCATTTTCAAAATAACAGCAATCCTTTGCAGTATTTTCTTGCTGTTCTCTGAGTCTAGAATCCATACTATAGTCTTTTTTTTTTCCTCACATTGAAAATAGGCTGATTAAATTTGGCATTTATAGTAATGGTGTTACAGAAGTGTTGCAGTTAAAAAAAGCATTATGTACAAAACATCATCATTCTAACCACTTAATTTGTTGTCCATGAGCACAAGCTGCATTCTTCTATTTGATTTAGCTTTCCTAACTTGTGTTAGCACGTCTGTCAGCTACAGAAACATGAATTGTCGCTGTGCTTGTGTGGACTGAATACTGCAGCTGTGGGTCAGAAATAATTTCCCTTCCAAGAAGTAATCATTTATCTTTCATGAGTTGCATTTAAATGAGATTTCTCAACTTTCTGTTTGTTCTTTTCCTATTTTTTTAAACTGCTTGGTTTATTGCATCTATGCATTACATTCCCTTCCCCTTTCTAAATGTGATTTCCATTATTATTTTATAACCATGCACATGCGATACTTGCTGACAAAATCTGACTATGATTTGCTAGGTATGTCTTTACCTGTGCCTTAAAACAAGATACAACAAAACCAAAAATTATGCTAATTCCTCTATTTAAATGTTCCTTATTTGTTGTGTTTTATAAGCATATATTCAAATTACTTTTAATATGTGCAACCTCATTTATGTGTAAAAAGCAAATATCTGTTGGCAACTGATAGTTGGAATCAGCTGCTTCTAACACTGTACAGTTGAAAATACCTGAATTCTAAAATTATTTATTCTAGTGTTCATATTTTAAGTTGTAACAATGGTAAAGCTGTACAGTGGGTTTTAAGCTAATGGGCTTTAGTCTGAGCTGGCTGCCATTCTGTTTGAGTTATCTACTCAAAAACAATTAATGTAAACCCCATATTTTTGTAATGTTTTACAGCTACAAATGGTCATTCAGAATGTTTGCGGCTGTTGATAGGAAATGCAGAACCACAGAATGCGGTGGACATTCAAGACGGAAATGGACAGTGAGTTTAAATTATGGACATTCTGTTCTTCACAAATTGTTGCATTTTATAAAAAAAACCCCAAATATTTTACAGTGGTTATTTTTAGCTTATTTTAAAAGGGCATTATATTTGAATTTGGACAAATATGACTGTATATATTGCAATAAATACGAAGTTTGGGGTAAAAAGTGTTCTTGTTCTATTGGGAGGAAGCTAAAATGTGTCTTACTGCCCAGATGCTGAGAAAATGGATTTGAGTTACTTAATCAGGACTTCCAAATTGAGGGATGTTAATTTATTTTCTTGAATTTAAAAAGCAAATAAATGAGTGGAAGGTCATTGATGATGTAAATGTTAACAGTGTTGACTGGAAGGATAGCAGTTGTTATACTTGAGCTGATTGCTAGTCTGTTAAATGTCCAAGTGTAAATTTCCATGTTATTTCTGTCTCTGCCTAGGACTCCTCTGATGTTGTCAGTTCTCAATGGGCACACTGACTGCGTTTATTCACTCCTTAACAAAGGAGCAAATGTAGATGCCAAAGATAAGTGGGGAAGGACAGCATTACACAGAGGGGTAAGCAAATATTTCCCTTTCCAGTTTCCAACATGCTAATTTCAAATAAAGATTTCATATGTAGTGTTAATTTATTTCTCGTTATTCTCATCTTGCCACTGTAATTTTTAATTATATTTTTAGTTGCATTCAAAAGTTGGCTTTTGCCTTTTTACTGCCCACCCTCAAAATTCTTTTGGACTTCCAGAGCCTCTTAATCTTGCCTGCAAAGTGTTGACCAGCAAGGTCCTAGAGTACAGCTTTTTGTTGGGGGGAGGTAGTGTTAACGAGAGGAAGAAAAGCATGATGCATACCACGTGCCAAATATTTTGTTTGTAGTGTCTGCCAGATAAGACAATTGAATGAACCCTAGAGATTAGCAGTTCATTAGTGTTACTCCAAGAAAATATTCTGTCATCAGTATCATAATATATTTTTCCAACAGAATGTCTCATTTCAGGGAAAAAACAAACCACAGCTTATTTTGCTTGTTTTGTTATGGCTTAAAAATACAAGAATTTGCCTGAGGTTTGCTTGCTTTAATTCTACACCTTAGCTGATACACATGAATATTTTCAAACTGGCCCTTTCCCTTTCCTCTCACAGGCAGTTACTGGGCATGAGGAATGTGTGGAAGCTTTGCTTCAACATGGTGCTAAGTCCTTACTACGAGACTGTAGGGGACGGACCCCTATCCACTTGTCAGCTGCGTGTGGCCATATAGGTGTTCTGGGAGCTCTCCTGCAGTCAGCTAGCTCTGTGGATGCAGCACCTGCAATGGCAGACAATCACGGCTATACATCACTGCACTGGGCCTGCTATAATGGTAAAATGCATTAAAATACATTAAAATGCATTAAAATACAGCTCTAAATCTGTTTATTGATATGGGGGTAGAAGTATCAATGTTTACAAAAGCAATATGTAAAGCCCATCCTCTTACAGTTCATTTCAGTGAGTGAGAGAATACAACAGACACAATATCTTGAAGAAGAATGTATTAACATCTAATACATAATAAGAAACATTTACTTCTGTCCTACATTTTTGTCATATACTATCTTAGTTTTATGCCTCAAGGAGTCTTTAAAGAAATTCAGCACATTACCTTTGAATAGAAATGTGCTGCACATTCCAAAAAAACAACCTTCATAGGAAGGAATGGTTTCAGATTAAATCTGTTTTTAAATTTGCTTCATATGAACTATTGTAGGCATAAGAAACTCAAGTATATAAAAGTGATTCAATAAGAATTTATTTTTTTCTTCACTGATACTTTTCATGGATTTGAGAGTGAGGGAGGCCTTAAAAGGTAGGAAAATCATTCAGCTCCTTTGCTAAACATTTTGTTCCGTGCGTTTATTTAGAACATAGTAGAGTTTGTCATTTATTTCATGTCTGAGTGACATGATAGAGAAAAATCAAGAGGTAGGATTAGACCTTCATTTTACCTATTACTATTAAGTGAATATCTGCTGAGCTAATGCAGCTGGGTGATCATTTCAACCAAAGTAACATCTCTTTATCATATTTATAAAATTAAACTCTTTCAGCTTGGTCCATTTTCAGTGACCGCAATGTATGAGTGAAACAGAATTGAGATACGCTTTTTTGGTAGGATGAAAACTTGACAGAACTTGTGAAAATTCAGATCTTTAGCCAACAGTGAACATTAAACTAATGTTCTCTTCATATATGCATTAAGGATCAAACAAATGGTTACCATTCTTAGCTACCTGTCCAGCAGCAGGGTAAAGAATTCTGAAAATATTAGTATAAAGGGTTGAACATGTCCTTTTTAGGATTTTGTTATGACTATTAAGTTGGTTCTTCTTTGTGTTTAGCAAGACAATGGAACAAAAGCCTCAAATGGTGGAGTCGTTTTTATGTAAAGTGGTGAATGTACAGAAAAGTTTGAAATGCAGAGGTGTAAAAAATTAAATTAAGCGTTCTGAGAGCATGAGAGACCTAAATTTCATTAAGTTTGCAGTGTTACATGTCAGTTTGATTTTCAGGATTCTGCAAATGTATTGGTTCCTAAATGTAGCCCTGTTGAATATAATCAGTCTTTCTTTGAAACTTTGAAATACTGTACTGCTTAATCTAATTTAGAGTCATATTTTTCATTGTAAGCCATAGTTAGACTTTTTCCTTCTTTTCAATACCTAACTCTTATATTTGCTTTAGGTCACGACAGTTGTGTAGAGCTGCTCCTGGAACAGGAAGTTTTTCAGAAAATGGGAGGAAATTCTTTCAGTCCCTTGCATTGTGCTGTGTAAGGAAGTTCAAAATTATTCTTCATAAATTTCATTGCTGTGTTTAACAAAAGATTTATCATTCTGTAAATAACAGTCTGTTTAATTCATTATAGGATAAATGACAATGAAGGTGCTGCAGAAATGTTAATTGATACGCTAGGTGCTGGCATTGTAAATTCAATGGACTCAAAAGGAAGGTAAGAGTGTAAATGCAGAAAGAATGTTTGTAATGTCATACAGTGGCTGTGCTAAATTCTTCAGTCATTTGGGGGTTTTGTATGTGCTACTTACATTAATATCTCATTCCTCTGGTCTTATTCTTTAAAGGGTTTTTTTTTTTTATTCTGTGCTAGAAATAAATTTTAGATTATAAAAATCCTATTCTGATTCAGTAAACTTGAATTGGCTTTTTATTACACAGGCAAGTTAGAGCATGTTTTAAACTTTATCACTTTGTGGATAGAGTTTTATGCATCTTTTCTTTTTTGAAATCAAATTTTATCTCTTGCAAACTATGTGGGTGGAGTTACTTGAAACTAGAAACAGACTACTTAAAGGCAGCAGTCACAACTCTAGCAATACCAATTGCAAAGGATCAGTAGGAGAGACTGCCCAGTTTTTTGTATTTTTAGGATCACAGCCAGAGAAGCCCCTTTGAATAGTAGAAAGCATGGCTGAACATGGCCATATTGTCTTTTGATCTGTTGTAGAACTCCTCTGCATGCAGCAGCTTTTACAGATCACGTTGAGTGTCTACAGCTTCTGCTTGGTCACAGTGCTCAAGTAAATGCTGTAGATTCTTCTGGGAAAACACCTTTAATGATGGCTGCAGAAAATGGACAGACGAATACAGTTGGTAAAGAGAAAGCTTTATGTATTTCTGCTCTTAGCTTTGTTAATCTTACTATGGATGAATTAGCCTTATACTTAATGTTCTAGTGAATATATATTGTCCAAATTCTATTTTCACTTTGCACAAATGTAAGCTGTTTAGATTTTAAGAAATATGCTTCTAGTTAATGCGCGTCTTTGTCTCCCCAGAGGTGCTGGTTAGCAGTGCTAAGGCTGATCTGACTTTGCAAGACAGTTCTAAGAACACAGCACTCCATTTGGCTTGCAGCAAGGTGCGTGCATGGTCTGACTGATCAGTGCTGAGCTTTGTGTTATCAAGCACTGATTGAAAGTATTGTGCTTTGAAAAAACATTCAAAGCAATTTGTGAGGAATACTTGCGAAGTGACAGCTGTTTGTTCTGTGTTAAGGGTCATGAAACTAGTGCCTTGTTAATACTGGAGAAGATTACGGATAGAAACCTCATCAATGCCACCAATGCAGCCTTGCAAACGTACGTATCAGCCATGAGGGTGTTGGAAAGATGAGTTCTTGGTCTGTATCTTGCTCATWAAGAGGAATATTTTTCAGAATTYTTTTTTCARATTCATTGAATTKTAACTGTTAATAGGTACCAAGAGTTGAACCAGCTTGGAATTGAAACAATGTTTTGCTCATATTTAAAATTATAGATTTTTTTTCCTAGTGGGTGAATAGGATGATAAATAAAAAAGTCTGCCTGAAACGTGCTTTTATTCTT